AGTAATTTATTTTCTAATCTTATAGATGTATCAAGGATTCAAGGGTCCAAAATCGTATGTGCGTTTCTACATGGTTTATTTGTTTACTCAGTTGGTAAAACAAGATACAGTATGTACATTCATACCTCCCGATAAATTATTATTCTACTTAAATAATTTTATTTTCTAGTCCCAAATATATATCAATAGTCCAAAATCTTATGTGCATTGTACTCTCTACGTGATTTGCTTGTAAGCTCGCTTGGTAAAACAACATACAATATATACATTCATACCTCGCGATAATTTATTATTTTATTTAAATAATTTATTTTCTAATCTTTAATATGTATCAAGTGTATAAAATCTTATGTGCATCGTACTGTCTACGTGTTTCACTTATTTGCTCGCTTGGTAAAACAAGAATATATACATTCATACCTCGCAATAATTTATTATTTCGTTCAAATAATTTATTTTCTAATCTTTAATATGTATCAAGGGTCCAAAATCTTATGTGTATCGTACTCTCTACGTGGTTCGCTTGTTTGCTCGCTTGGTAAAACAAGATACAATATATACATTCATATCGCGATAAATTATATTTTCGCTTGAATAATAGATTTTGTTAATCTCAATTTAGGCTAATATATTAGAATAATAAGTTCGCTAAATTTATAAGTTAATAAATTTTGGAAATTTTCTTGTATATTTCTATAGGTCCCGTCTAACTGATAAATTAATAATCTACAAAAATTACATACATTTATTATGGGAGTTTTTTATGAGTTAACAATTCAATTAAATCTCATCTCCAGCTTTTTGTATTATAATATGTCTCGGTTTTTTTCTTCGTGTTTAGTGTAATTGTCATTTCTGAGTGCCTCTCTACTTTAAATAACTTCATTGCACATCTATCAATCTACCATCGTCAAATATATAATTAAGACCTATAATGTTATGTATGTTCCACCTTTCATTCAAAATTAACAAATTTATGTAAATTTTGAACTTAAATGTAAATACTTCGATAAATTAACGGAATACTTAAAATATCAATTACTTAATATTTCGCTAAATTAATAGATTTTGGTGGTTCCCAATCTATTAATTTATAGAAATTATATTATAATAGAATATGAGTTTGACTCGATTTGTTTATGGAACAAACAAACGAGCGACTCTATAGGTCATAAATTTTAGTTTTTGAGTAAGATGTTCACGATATTCTGAATGTTTTAGTGACTACATCGGGTTGACATGATTGTCTAGTACAATCAGAAAACAAACTTTTATTTAGTATTAAACAACACTCCGTGATTATGAATTTTCAAATTTTAAGAAATATTGATT